CCACAATGTTCATTGCAGCTCTATTTACAATAGCCAGGACATGGAACCAACATAAATGTCCATCTACAGACGAATGGATAAAGAAGATGTGGCACATATATACAATGGAATATACTCAGCCATAAAAAGAAATGAAATTGAGTTACTTGTAGAGAGGTGGATGGACCTAGAGTCTGTCATACAGAGTGCAGTAAGACAGGAAGAGAAAAACAAATACTTTATGCTAACACATATATATGGAATCTAAAAAAAAAAATGTTACCGATGAACCTAGTTGTAGGGCAGAAATAAAGAGGTAGACATAGAGAATGGACTTGAGGACATGGAGAGGGAGGGCGAAGCTGGGGCGAAGTGAGTAGCATCGACGTATACGCACTACCGAATGTAAAATAGTTGGCTGGTGGGAGGCAGCAGCACAGCACAGGGAGATCAGCTCGGTGCTTTGCATTGACCTGGGGGTGGGATAGGGAGGATGGGAGGGAGGCTCAAGAGGGACGGGATATGGGGACATGTGTATGCATATGGCTGATTCGCTTTATTGTGCAACAGAAACTAACATGGTATTGTGAAGCAATTATACTCCAATAAAAATGTATTTTAAAAAATCCAGGGCTTCCCTGGTGGCACAGTGGTTGAGAGTCCGCCTGCCGATGCAGGGGACACGGGTTCGTGCCCCGGTCCAGGAAAATCCCACGTGCCGCGGAGCGGCTAGGCCCGTGAGCCATGGCCGCTGAGCCTGCGCGTCCGGAGCCTGTGCTCCGCAACGGGAGAGGCCACAACAGTGAGAGGCCTGCATACGGCAAAAAAAAAAAAAAAAAATCCAGAAGGTTCTGGATATCATCATGACATCTCAAACTGGAAGGTAAGGGCAGCAAGGGGATGGGACTCTGGAGCCCCCTCCTCAGCTTTATTCAGTCTTACCAGTTCTGCCTTCATCTGCTGCACACTAGAAGCTTCCATTTGAATAAAGCGATTTGTCTTGAAAAAAGTTTGAACATTATTTGTTTAACCCAACCTGCCTCACCCTCATGCTTGAGTGATTCTCCCCAGCATCCCTGCCATGCGGTTGGCCCAGCTCTGCCTGAACTCCTCCAGGTAAGGGAGCATCCTCCTTTGGTGCTGACACTTAGAAAGTCCTTCATTACACGGAGCCAAAATCTGTCTCCTCACGCCTGCCAAGCATTAACCCTGGTTTCCTCCCACACCACTGGGGATGCAGAATAAATCTAACCTCCTCCACGCACGCAGCTACCCATCCACTTCTTCAAAATCACATCCAGGCTTTCTACAGCCTCTACACAGTTGTACCAGGAATGCTCTCCCCACCCTGAGATCTCTAGTGAGTCCCTTAGGGCCCATGAAGGCCTAGAACCTATGTCACCACCTCCATGAAGATTCCCCTGACCACCCACCTTCCTCAAGCCCATGGGGGCTTCCTCCTCCAGGCCCGTAGAACTCTCCGGTATGTCTACCTTTGCACTTGCAATAGGGAACTGTAACCCCTTATCGGCAAGTCTGGCAGTGGCCCTGGATGCAGGGACAATGGCTGATTTGTCCCATGTCCCCAGGTACCAACGTGGAAAAAGCTCTCAGTGAGCATTTCAAATGGGCAAGGGAAGGTAGGGTGGTCCTAGGACCCTGTGGAGCTGGAGGGTGAAGCTGGAGCTTGCATGAGGAGAGGGTAAGGTGGGGGCTGCTTTGGGCATGAAGGGTGCATCCTTGGTCTGGCGATCTGGAGGCCAGGAGATGGTGGAGCCACTGGGCATCAGGACGGCAGGGGACAGAGCTTCATTGATCCCAAGGGTTCCCCGTTTTGCCTATTTCTCTGCTAGCTTGGTCTGAGAGGAGGAGGCTGTTCTAGGCCCCGCGGGAAGGTCTACAGCAATCCACTTTCACAAAGCCCTGTAGGATTTTCTTAAAAAAGAGCTGATCAAGGTGACTTAGCCCTTCCATCCCATTAGTCCCCTTCACCCCCAAAAAGACTGGTTCTATTGAGTAGAGAAGAGCTGGATTCTTCCCTCAGGTAAAGAATAAGAGTGTCAGAGTGAAGGTTAAGATTCCCACTCCAAGTGAAAATTGCTGACTACCTCTAGGATCAATGAGTCCTTTCAAGGAACAAAAGCTTTGGGGGTTCCCCAGCATAACAGTGATTAAAGAACAGAGAAAGCCTGTTGTCAGATGCCTGTCCCTCAGTTCCTATAAGAGGGAGTTGCCCTCCTTGGCAGTGGAACCTGAACTTCTGTGTACCTTTCTGGGCGTGGTGGAGAAGTACAGTGGCAGCTGCTGGATGCTGCCCGGAGGCTTAACAATGCTCAGAACATGTTCTGGGGCCTCGGTGGTATGAAATGCTTCCAGAACTGGCCACAGAGATGAATTCTTATAGCATCTACTCATTTGTCTTCTCATTCACTCATCAGACATTAACAGCAGACTTGCTGTATGTTGGGCTCTGTATAATGCTCTGAGGGGCCCCCATGATAAATATGGCTTCATTCTATCATTAAGGAACTCCCAGGACTGCAGGGCAGACGAGACAGCTCCTCAAATGATTCCGATATAAAAAAATGAAAGGCCAGAAAGGGATAAAGTTCTGTGGGGCTTAGAGATAGGAGGGCTGTCCTTCAGTTGGGCGGTCTCCCTGTGGGGGGTGAGTTAAGTCTGGTGGCCACAGGCATCCTGGGAAAAACGTGCAGATACTTCAGAAGGAGGAGAGCACGTGTGCAAAGGCCTGGACGTGGTCAGATGTGGGGTTTGAGCAACAATGAGGACTCCTGGGGGTGGAAGAGGGGGAGGTGGGAGATGCAGAGGAGAGGGGGACAGACACTAGGCCACAGAGCTACAATTTCATCCGGAGAACGGAGGGCAGAAGCAGTGGAGGTTTGGGGAGGGAAATGATATAATCATACTTGTATTTTAGAAAAGTCTGTCTGTGGTGTGTGGGATGATTTGGGGTGGAAATGAGACAGGTTAGGATGCTGCTGCGATAGTCCAGGTGAGGCTAGGAGAGCCTGAGGTGGTACTTCTCAGAGAAGATGATGCCTTCAGCCAGGGTCTCAAACTACCCAGGCCCCAAGTCAGCAAGGCAGGCATGCCCCACAACCCCTAGAGGAAGAAGAGAATTGTGTGCTGTTTCCCAAGACCTTGCCAGAAAGAAATGCCTCAGCTTTCACCAGCCGGCTGAGGCAATCTTACACAAGCCTGACACAAGCCCTTCTGTGAAGTAAACTCCAGAATCCAACCTCAACACCCTGCCCCCTCCCAGGAATTGCTGAAAACATGGTTTAGAAAGCCCAGTGTCATAGATTTTGACACTCCAATTACCAAAGTGACAACAGAACTGAAACAATTTGTTGCTCAAGTCCTGTTGCCTCTTGGGACTCAGGCCTGAAACAATTCCTCTACCCCAAGACTCAGGTCATCCTCCTGGCCAAACTGGACCCCCAACCCCCGTCCTCAGAGGTCCCCACTGCACACACAAGACAGGGAAAGTGGACACCAGGGGACGGCTGGCCTCCTGTGAGCGTCCCAGGGTTTCCTTTTCTCTGCGAACTCTCCCACTTTTGCCCATGTACCCAGAATTGTCACATGTATGGTGAGATTGTACAGTGAGAGGGGGACTGTTGAGAAGACCTGAGGCAAGGGGTGAAGAGGAGGGTGATCCCCGGACGGGTGCATCAAGGTGGCAGGATTCCGGCTTGGGGCACGGGGCAACCCAGCTCACTTCCGTCCATCCCCCTCCTCTCTTCTCCCTCTCCCTCTTGGTTTGTCCCTCTCTTTCTCTATCTTCCCTTCCTACATTCTCTCCCTGAGTCTCTCCCTCACTTGCTGCTTTCTGCCCTCCTGGTCTCAGGGCTGAGGTGCAGTCCCAAGGTGCTTGGGTGCTGCCAAGGAGGGGAATGCCTTTGAGATGTAACTCAGGGTCACATCTCACCAGGGATGATTCCTCCAAAACAAAAGATGCTCAGCTTTCAAGATGCCCATTAACAATGGAAGGAGAAAATCACAAAGGGAAACAGTTGAAGGGCTTGAGAGCATTGAGCCTGGAAAAGAGAAGCGGAAGCATGTCCTCTCCACAGCAAAGTCTCCAAAGTCTTCTGTGATGGGGCATATTTGCTGCCAGTTGCCCCCACCCTCCATCACAAGCATCTCACTTTTTAGCTGTTGGTCCCTTCAGTTAGCAAACAGTAACTCAATTCTACTAAACCAACATTCATCAGTTATTCGTTCATTAAAGGACCCCTGTAGGCAGGACACTGTCACAAGCTCATAAAACACAGCAGGTCCCTGTTCGGCTGGAGCTTATGCTTAGGGAGACTCAGGCAAGAAACAAATGGAGGAAGAAAGAATAGATCATTCCAGGTGGGTATGAGCTCCACTGCAAGAGGAAGACGTGCTAGAACAACTACTAGCAGGGCTGGGGAACCAGACAGGGCTTCCCTGGGGAGGTGACAATGGAAATGAGACCTGGGTGACAAAAAGCACTGGAGAAAGTCTGGAGGGTCTTCGTCAGGTAGTGACACATGAATTATGTTTGGACATCACGCTGGCTGTTGTGTGGATGAGGGGGTGGGGACCAGGTTGGAGGCTGTTGCAGGGATTTATTGAGCCCAGTCTTTGTGTCAAACACTCTGCTAGGTCCCCTGCCCTCAAGGAGCCTTCAACCTAATGGGGGCAACAGACACCTAAATAGCTATTTTCAATATTACATTGTGGCCAAAAGAAAAGCAACGGTAATAAGGATCAGACGCCCTGGGAGCACAGAGGAGGTGCTTTTCTTCTGTCTTCTTGGGCAAGTGCAGGCCTGCCTGCGGGGGAGGGAGGATTAAGGAAACATTCCTCAGGCTAATGCTGAAAGGGCGGGGGTTCTGCTTGCCTGGGGCTGGGTTAGGTAATGAGAGAAATCAGAGAAGCATAGGAAGTCAGGGGCTTGCCCTTCACAGCCTGCTTTGCTTCCTTTTAACTTTGAAGACTTTTATATTGACCAAGTTAAATGAAGAGTCCTAGCCATTCTTGCACCAGGGGGTCCCTGTAACCATCCCATTGAATCCAGATCCTTCTCCTGACTTCCAAAGCCCCAATATGCATGTTGGCTTGACTCACAATGTGCAACAGCCTACCGGCCTGCGACATCCTCCTGAAGGGCATGGGTCCCTTGTCACATACTAACTCTCTTGCCCAGAGGGCTCTGTCAGACTCATCATCCCCAAAGCAGCCTGTCGGCAGGACAGGAAGGTAAGTCCTAGAGTCCCCAAGTTGAAAGCCACTCTGGATAGGAGGTGGAAATATGGGAGGGGGTGTGAGCAGGAGAGCTCCCTGGAGGTTGTGCCATTTGGATTGGGCCTTGGTGGGTGAGCAGGAGTTCCAGAGCCAAAGAAGGGCCCGGTAGCTTGGTAACTACAACAGAGTATCAGACACTTTTTTTTTTTTTCGGTATGCGGGCCTCTCACTGTTGTGGCCTCTCCTGTTGCGGAGCACAGGCTCTGGACGCACAGGCTCAGCGGCCATGGCTCACGGGCCCAGCCGCTCCGCAGCATGTGGGATCTTCCCGGACCAGGGCACGAACCCGTGTCCCCTGCACTGCGCCACCAGTGAAGCCCCAGACACTTTTTAAATGTTTGTGAATGAAGGGAAAAGAGGGCACTTCAGACAAAGAGAACAGTAGGACAGCAGGTGCAAAATCCAAGACGTCTGACAGTCCATGGGGAAACTGGAGAACGTTCTGGAATGGCTGGAGACTAGGGCTCATGGCAGTGGACAGGAGGTCAATGGCGAGATGCTGGAGAGGACATGTCCAATCTCTGTGGTCCTGTGGTTCTAAGTGTCCTCGTATCTGTTTGCTTGTTTCGTGATACCTGCCATCGTCCGGGGACCAGGCTCTGCATTTTGACGAAGGGACCAGAGATCACCTGGTCCAAACATCGCACTTTAAAGGTGAGAGACCAGCTCAGAGAAGCAAGGTCATTTGCTCAAACTCACAGAGCCAAGAAGCAGTTGAGCCGGGAGGCTAACCTAGTACATTTTATTCCAGGTTGAAGGCTCTTTTCATCAGCCTTGTGTGCCTCTCCGACTGATGGATTTTGACCATGTTTGGGGACCCTTAACATTTTTCTAAATATGATTGAAGTTCAATTTGTGGTTCAGTTGGCTATTTTGAAACAAAATCATGGCTGTGATTGTTTTCACAATAGCAAATGTGCTCGCTTTTGTTCTTATTGGTTGGTTGGTTGGGTGGGTGGGTGGGTGGTTGGCTGGCTGGCTGGTTGGTTGGTTAGTTGACTGGCTGGATGGATGGATGGTTGGCTGGATGGCTGGCTGGATGGCTGTTTGGTTGGGTGGTTGGCTGGCTGGTTGGTGGCTGGTTGGTTGGTTGGTTGGTTGCTGGTTGGTTGGTTGGTTGCTGGTTTTTACCAGATGTTAACATTACCATATACATCAGAGTGGCCACAGATACACATGAATTCATTAAGCAAGGGCACAGCTTGTTGCTCTGGCCTTTCGTTTAAAGGCCTTTAGAGAAAGACAGCACCTAACTGCCCTTAGTTACTTGTATAATACTGGTCAACTTTACCCAAGTTACCCCTAAAATGTAACCTAAATCTGTGCTTTGGTTTAAAATAACCTTTACCTGTTGTGGCTGCAGCAGAGAGAAGATAGCTGACCAAATGTAACTAAAACCTCCTATATAAATTAGTATTTTACTATTAATGCTAATACCTAGTGAGTGCTTACTCAGCATCAGATGCTGTGCTAAGTGCTTTACACGTGTTGCTAGGTTATCTAATCCTCACCTCAATTCTGGGAAAGGTGCTGCTTTTATTCCCATTTTATTGATGGGGAAACTGAGGCTTAGATATTTTAAGTAACTTGCTCAAGGTCTCACAATTAGTAAGTGGTAAAACTAGGATCTGAATCCAGAAATATAACTTTAATCTTCATACTTGGTCCACTACCCTTTCAGTGCCCAAATATAACTTCATTCTCATCCTTCTAGATCCTACTCAAAGTTCTCCATCCCATCCAAGTATCTCAGAACATTAAAATTGGATGACACCTGAGTGTTCACCTAGTCTAAACTCTTCAAATGAATTCACCGAATTCCTTTGAATTCTTCAATAATGAGGACAGAGATCCAGAGAGGCAAACTGTTCTTCCCAAGGTCACTCAGCAAGTGAGGGCTTTCCCTGAATGGTCCCCCTTTCTCAATCAGTGATGGAAGACTTCCAGGCTTGGGCCATTCCAAGACTGCCTTCTCTGGGTCCTGAATTCCTTCATCTTTGGCCAATCCCACTCCACCCTCATCTTCAGCCTCTCCCCCTGCCCCATCCCCAGGAGAGGGTCTCCACAGGCTCCTGCTTCCTCGCATACTTTCCACACTTCCCACCTGCCTCAGCTTTGCCTCAGATCCACATCTCATGACATAGTAGTTTCCTCTGCTGGGCAGCCCAGCAGACCTCCAGCCCTGGGGCTTCTGTGGCCAGGACTCGTCACTTTCTGGCCTCAGTCCTGAATCCCAGCTTCCTGTGCGCCATCTCCACCCAGGTTTGCACCAAATAAACCAAAATACAAACCCACCTCTGCCCCAATATAAAGCTTCTCTTCTCACTTTTCCTCATATCAGTCATACCTGGGCTCCAGCAAGTTACCTCACCTTTTAAAAATGTCGTCATACACTCTGCCCTCCTGGCCTGTCCCTCCTGCTGAGGAGGGAGCAGGGGAGCAGCCACTAGTGCGTCTGCCAGAGGCCAAGGCTGTGCCCTGGCTGCTGCGACTGTGGTGTCCTGGCCTGCTTAGGCTGCGAGAACGAATGCCATAGGCTGGATGGCTTAAACAACAGACATTTATTCTCCCAGTTCTAGAGGCTGGACATCTGGGATCAGGCTGCCAGCGATGGTTGGGGGCCTGGGGAGGGCTCTCTTCCTGGCTTGTAGACTTGCTGTGTGCTCATGGAGAGAGAGAGAAATCTCTCTCTGTTCTTCTTCTTATAAAGGCACTAATCCCATCACGAGTGTCCCACCCTCATGACCTAATCTAATTACCTCCCAAAGGCCCCATCTCCAAATACCATCACACTGGGGGTTAGGGCTTCAACAAGTGAATTTGGGAGGGCACACAAACATTCAGCCCATAACATACGGGTACTCTGACATCTTGACAAAATTGACCTCTTGACCTCTGGACTAAAGGGACACCCCATCTATCCCAGACCTGACTCAGCACCAGACAGGGGTTGGTGGGCAGGGAGGTCCCCAGTGACTTCTGCCCATTCAGACTGAATGCACTTTTCACCAGGGAATAGTGACCCAACACTTGCCCCCTAGGGAGATTATTCCTGTCCTCAGAGACCATGCTCCCTCCTGTTTCCCTCTGGACCGTTTACAGGGAATCAAATAAATAGCCTATTGATTTCCATACATTCATCCTTGTAAGAGGTATTTCTGAAACACCTACTGCATGCCAGGCACAGTGCTGCTGCTAGAGACCCAGTGCCTACTCTCACACACACCCATCCATTGAGGAGACGGACATAGAACAAATAAGCACATTAGTAGATACAGAATCACAGCAGGAGAGAAGAGCACAGAAGGAGAGCAGCTTAGTCCTAGGGGAACATTTCACAAAGAACATGGACTAGACCAGCATGGGGAGGGAGTCTGGCCCAAGAAGTCTTCCCTCCCCTTATCCTGTGCTGGACAGAGCTCATGCTCTCCCCCTCGTCCTGTCACTCTTCTTCACACACCCTTTCAAAGTTCAGCCCCAAGTTTCATGGCCCACACAGGAAACATAAGTGAAATCAATCATCTCACTCTCTTGCTCAAAACCCCCTGTGGCTCCTTAGCACACTTGGCACAAAGTCCAAGGCCCTCCCCACAGGCTGTAAGCCCCTGCTCCCTGCTCCCTGTTTCCTGAAGGCTGTGGTCTCCCACCAGCCCCACCTCAGATCTGCATCCGCCACTGTGCTGGTCTTTGAGCAGGTTAGACACATGCCTGTCTCAGGGCCTTAGCCTCTCTCTGCAGGAACTCTTGACCCACAGACAACCGCAGGCTGCTCTCCTTCCTTTCTTTTAGATTTCTGCTCAAACACATCCCTCAATTATCATATTTACAGTATCCCTGTCCTTCCCTCTGCCCCTTATTTCCTTGCTTTAGCTTTCTTCATATCACATATCATTACCTACCAGTGTATCATATGATATATCTTTATGGTAATACCTAGTGGTTTGTCTGTTGGTTCATTTTCTATCCCCTCCCCAATAGAATGCAAGCCCCAAGAGGATAGGGACTTCACGTCTTTGGTCTCTGGCTATTATAGATGCTCAGTAAATATTTGTTAAATAAATGAATAAATGAACAAATAGGGGACATTTAATAAATTATTGGTGAACAAATGAACAGAGCAGGGGTTCTCAGAGGTCTAAATGGGGACTGTCGGAACAGCAGGGGTGAGGAAGGATCAAGTTTTGTGAAAGAAAAAAAGTACACAGACACTGTTATGAACTGTTCAAGGGTACTTTTATTAACTCTCGCTTCCTTCAGGCAAGGCAAACTTCGGTGAGGAGAAGGGAAAGTCTTCTTGGGGACATTGCTGGGAAGAGCCCATCAGAGCTTCTACTCTTGGTGGATAGCCTCATGGGCAGTCTTCAGCACCCTGGACACCAGGACTACGAATTCCTCAAAGGTGACCTGTGCATCTTTATCAGCATCCAGCTCTTGGAATAGTTTGTCAATGGAAGGTTGGTCTTTGGTGTTCTTGGAGAAGGGAAAGCAGGGACAGTGAGCTCCCCTTTATCCAGGCCTCGAATCCCTCAGAACTCAGCTTAGGGAGGCCCGGGAACACCAACTGATTAGCCAAAACTATGTGGGAGAATCCAATGTGAGAAAACAGAAGACACAGAGAAGCAGCTGTCTTGGGCCATCCTAGAATAAAGTCTTAACCTAGAAGATGCTGTGTAGCTCAGCAATCCAATCCCGCCCTGCCCTGCCTCTCTCCACTCTACAGAGACAGGAAGGAGCAGAGCCTAAGGTGATGGTGGGAGTTATTCAGAGAGGGAGGCAGAGCCCCTGTCCCACAGCTGGCGGCGGGGTGGGGGGAGACATCCTTGGAAGCTCAAACTGGGAAGAACCCACCCCTTGTCCCACCATCATCCTTCAGGCCTTGCCACTGCCCTCAGTGCAGGGGGTCGGGCAACTTTTCCAAGAGAGGAGCATCACGTACCTTGAGGGCATTTGGAAGTTCCTTTGTGATCAGCTTCTTCAGCTCACTCTTGTTGAGGGTGTCATAATTCCCCAGCCGAATGGAGTAATGGTGGAAGATGTTGATGATTCCCTCCAGGTGGTCTTCCAGCTTCGTCATCTCCCTAACTTCGCATTCACCTTCAAAGAGACAAGGGAGGTCTTGTCAAGGGGCAGTTCCTCCCCCACCCCACAGCACTTCCACTCTCTCCTCTCTTTCTGTATCAAAGGTTTAGACAAGGGATGACTACCCCTGGGTCTGCTCTGCGTTCTCTCTGCTCTGTGTTTGATCCACGGTGAATGTTCTCATTTGCAGATAGGACGAGGGGAGAAGGACATAGAATACCACCTAAAGTCTAAAAGAATCAGCCTTAACTGTCGCGGTGTTCCATGTCCCCCCATCTCCTGGGGACTATAGTCCAGAGGTTGTTAATCACTCAAGCTCACCTGGGAAGGGTGCTGTGGTTGGCCAGGCTGTTCCCTTTCCCCCAAGTGTTGGTACTTAAAGGCCCTTACAGATGCCAGCCACCCCACCCACCTTGGCCATCCCCAAGTCCTGAGACTGGGTCTTCCTAGCACAGCAAGAGCTGGCATCCTTGGGCCCAAAATGCAGTCAGCCCAGAGCGGCTCCAGCAGGCAGGGGGTTGTAGCTTCCAACAGCCTGCCAAGTGGCCCCCTGAAGGCCCAGCCAAGGAAAGGACACTTACCCCTCAATGCACAGAAGTGTGGAGGCAGCAGCACTGGTGAGGAGCCCTGAGCCAGGGAGGGTTTTTATAAGGCAGGTGTCACCTTTGACCTCGAGCGAAGAAACTTCTCTCATTCACCATGGGGCATGTTTCTCTGTTGCTCAAGAGAAGCTTCAAACATGCGGCACTGACTGCAAAATGGGCAGTTCAGATTGCAAGAGAACAAGTTTCACTGCAGGCATGGCTCC